TGGGTGATCGGACCAACAACACCTAGGCTAAACTAACCTTAGTGCCGATTAGAAAAGAAGACACAAAGTTTTTCAGATTCTCACCACAGTAGAGGTTTCAAGCGTGTTTCTTCAAGTAGGACAAAGCTCTCCTTAGGAAAGGAGAGAAGCCTGCGTTCCAGTGAAGCTCTGGCAGTGCTCCAGCGATGCTATGACAATCCTCTGATGATCCTACCCCAAGCTAGGATGAAGCTCTCCTTTCATGTAGGAGAATAGGCACCTTGTACCTTGATAGCCAAGTTTTGCCTCAAGAAGACCGCCTCACACATCCAAGAAATGTGGTAGGGGAAGATGAAGGAGATGAGGAAGAAGTTGAAGAAGGGGAAGAGAATAAGGGACCTTAGCTTTCTCCTCTTGACTCTTCTTCCTCTCTTGCTCTCTTTAAGAAGCTCTCTCCAAGGGACCTTCAAGCTCTCCAAGTGATCTCCAAGGAAGCTGCTTCAGCCCAAAAATTGAAAATAAGATGGAGAGTTGAGAGGAAATGAGGCTCTCTAAGTTAAGATCATCTCTCCCCCTCCATTTTACCAGAATGTCCTCATTAGACGTTTTTGGAACCCTCTAGAGGTAAAAAAGAGGTATTACCTATCCTCTTTTGCCATCCCCAAAGCTCATCATCACAAACCTGCAATTTCGGCTGCCTCGGGGGAAAATCGACACCAAAAACAGCTTTTTTTTTGCAATGTGGGAATGGATTGACTCCGCGATCCTAGTGCCTAGGTGCCCAGTCTAGCACCATCTGATGCATAGGGGCTTGTTTTGGCGCCTAGACACTGGCTAAGTGGCGCCTACTTTCCTAACTATCGGGAAAATGTCATCTTAGCTGGTTTGGGCACCTAGGTGCCCGAGACTGGCGCCTAGGCACCAGAAACAGGCGTTCGACTTCTAGATGCTTTGTTTTAAAAATATGGGAAAACATTTTTTGGGTGCCAAGGCACCCGGGGTTGGTTCCTAGGTGCTGATCTAGCCCCAAAATTCTGATTTACATTGGGAGAGTCTGATAGATGACCTTCTCAATCTATAAGCTATAAGAGACTCTATATGAGTAAAAATATAGTCCCATGGCTTCAAAATTAAGTACTCTGGTTGTCCATTCACTTGGTAAATTATCCAATGGTTGCCCTAAGACACGACGCAGGTAGGGCGTCCCAAACCCTAGCTTTCCCACAGCAAGCGTAGGATGACTTCAAGACTTCCCTTGGACATGGGAGGTTCCAGACGGATGTGCGGTGACTTATAAACACCAGAATAGGCACTGAGTATGTCTCATGTCTTGAATGATCCCCTCTGATGATGAGTTCTTCTAAGTAAGGCTAAATCACTGCCAATCATAGCTCCTTGCCTCAAACAAGTGCTAAAGAGTCTCGGATGGGTGTCTTGAGCTGCGAAATCCTGGGATGAACTATAAACTATCTTAAGTCATACAGGTGGACACCCTACACTCGTGACATCAAAAGATAATGCCAACAGGATTATTAAGCCCTTGTTTCCTGTATCAAAATTTTTACCAACCAGAATATTACTGGGCTCATCCTTGTCAGCATAATTTTTCAGAGTTGGCTCGCTTGTCTCGATACCTCCTTCCCATTGGTTATAAATTTCCAAGAACTCTTGCTCCACACTCCTGACCGCCCGAAGGTAGGTATTCATGGATGCAAATCTTCTCATATTGTTATGATTTCACCGTTGATGTCAAGACCACGACCTTGAAGTTGTTGAGAAGTGAACGCTTGAAGATGGTATTGTAGGTAGAGACAAATACACCACCAGGAAGTACATGGGATAGATGAATTGTTTGTCACCTTCCACCCAGGTGATCGTTCGTGAGATGACTCTGAAAGCCTCCTTTCTTTCTCCTGAGAAGCCATAAAGAGGGTCAACTGGTGAAACCAACTTATCGGTAGAAAGGTTCATTCTGTCGAACAACAACTTGAAAAAAAATGTTCACAGAGCTACCAATGTTAACCAGTATATTGCCGATCTGATAATCCCCCACCATAGTGATGATGAAAATGTCATCAGTGAATGGATTGCTCTTTATTGGTAGGTCAGAATCTGTAAAAACAATCGACCGATGGGGTTTTCTCTTAGGCGTTGTCACAAATGCACAAAATTCTGACTGGCTCATTAGGAGTAATGTTCGTCTCCCCTAAAGATAGTTGACAATACTCCTGCAATACTGATGGCATTTGCCCTGACCAACTCACCAGATGCTTCCTCTACTTTTCCCTACCTCTGAGTAGCAGCACTGGGTGCTATGAACTCTTTAAGCTTTTCAGAAGGAACAAATCTTTGATCAAGCTACAGATATGTCTGTACACTTGCATATCATTACTGTGGTCCTTGTGGCAATAAAAAATTTCTTTAGGTCCCGGGGAGAAGCTTGGCTTTGATTTGGTATTATGGATGGCCTCTACAATCTCAGCCATGGAGACCCTCGGGCTGCTTCTTTGTACTTCTAGATTGTGTGTCAATCGCACGTTAAAACGACTCGATTGCTAGTCACGATTCCTTATATGCCCTCCGAGGCAATGATTTCGCCCAGCCCCTTATTTTCACGGGGCGGCTAGTTATCTTCATAATGTGGATGGTTGGGAGGGTGTGGGCCATTCTTCGATATCCATGTAGCGTTCCACTCAACTCTCTTTTGTGGGTAACGATCTAATGCTTTGGCTTTATGGTTGAGGTTGAAAATGTTTTCCTTAAGAGTGATGTATCTATTTTTCATTTCTAGAAATTCAACCAGGCTTTATGGCTCCACTAAGTCAAGGACAAATCGAAATCTTTCTCCACGGGTTGAGTTAGTGCACATGTGCCGTTATGGTCTCTAGGTTCGATACTTTCAGCATCTCCCTTTGAAATAGTAATGTAAAAAGGGAGGCTTTCATCCCCCCATCCCTCCCCCTACTTAATTTGTCATAATGCCTGCGAACTCTTCTTAGGTATTCGAGCACTGATGAACTTTGCTAAGAACATCCTTTTGAAATTGGCAACAAAGCCAATCACTCCCACGAGTAGGCTATTGAACCACCTGAGAGTATACTCTCTTAGTGTGGTATATAATAACAAACATTTCAGTGCGTTGGAAATTCTAAGGAGGCGGACGACTGATTCAAATGAGGATATATGGTCAGTCAGGTTGTTCCGATCCTTATACACTTCTAGACGGGAATTTTAACTACTCTGGGAATTCGACGTCAGAGATCGGGGCAAGAGACAGTGGGTCTCGTCCCGCCCATTCTGATGTTTGTTTATTGGTGTCGACCTAACACTATCTTAGTACTAAAAATCCACAAATCTCTCTGACCTCTGAGCCACTCGATAACCTTGGGGTTCAAGCTCCTCTTTCTGAGGGTTCCGCTCTCGGAAAACTTGTTCCCTTTCCCCAAGCACTACTCAAGTCAATTCCGCTATTTGGTTTTTTAACTCCTGAATTTGTTGTCAAACAAGTACCTTAGTATGATCTACATTTTTTCGTGTCTTCTGTGTATATTCATTTATTGTACGCTGCTCTTCTTCTTGATGGCATGACTCCACACTCATCACACCTTTAGGAATTTTAAGTCTGAATTTGTCTTTTGAGTCACCCCCAAGGAATAAAACATAAATGAGAGAAAGAAAGAGAGAGAATAAATAGCTATTTAGAATAATTACATTGACCTTTCTCAACCTTCTTATTTTGCTAAGATTGTGTAACATTTATTTTGAGAATGGCCTTTTATTCATAGATAAAGGAGACATGACTTCTACAATTACATAAAAGCCCCTACTTTAATAGGGACTGGATATTATAAGTATTTGGCTTTAGTGGGGCCCAATGATCTCTTGGAATCCTCCACTCAATGACCTGGACTATGGGGATGAGGCGACTGATCTTTTCGACCGTCTATTTTGTTAGGTTCGTCAACTGACTGACGACCTAAGTGTAGTTGTTCGGTCACTTATATGAAGTCAGTCGGATGTTTCTGATTCACCTCACGGAGAAATTGCCAGCCAATTTAATTCTCAATAAGTTCTCTAACTCTTTAAATTGACTACTTTTAAATGACAACTATTATCTAAGCTTCGTGTGGGTTATTTTTCTCGAGGGGGGGGTGATATATTGGCCTATCACGGACACAATGTCCGTTGGATTCCTTTTGAGATTCGTGTAATCAGGTTAAAGAAAAATTGTTTTTAGTTTAATTACTTATGTTTGACATTTAACACACGGCATTACATTTATCTAAAATATGTCTAAATTAACTTCTAATGATTAGATATATATAAAACGAGAGAGAGAGAGAGAGAGAACAATTTGTGAATCGAAAGAACAGAACAATTTGTGAATCGAAATCGAAAGAACAAATAAGCAACAAGAAATCTAAATATCAACAATCCATGACCAAAAACTCGCTCACTCTGACAAACAAAGCTAAAATACATACATTGCAACAAAGTAGCAGGGTAACAAAGTTAGCAGAAATATCAAGAAGAATCCACAAAGATATGACCTAATCATAAGACAACAACTTTTCATATGAAACCATATCAATAGATCTAATCAACCACCACACAGGATACATAACCATTCTGGAAAACACACACACACACAATTCTCACGTCACTTAAGAAGGTGAAGATGATGTGGGAGCACGGTAAATAAAAAGAGAGAATACATCCATGCACTGACTTGTTCTTGCTATTCTCCCTTGCCTCCCTTAATATATTCTTTTCATTAGCACACAAGCCAAGAACAGAATCTCACAAGGAATTTTTATCATATAAAATATGTTATCACCACTCATTTTTATCCTCATATTGTCTTCAAAATCATCTAAGATTAATAGAATAGATCCCGATGGACACAGATCTCAATAAAATATGAATGGTGATAAAACATTCAATGTAGGGATTTATATAGAGAGTTTATTTGACATGTGACGACCTTGGAATATTTTCATATTAAATCGGCCCTATACTTACAAAACTCAGACATTAATAGAGATTAGTCGTTTGCATCTTATCACACATTAACTGTATTGAATTGAACCAAAAGAATCAAATCCCCATAGCTTCCAGCTTATCAAGTTGCCACGATTATGATCACAATGAGCAGGATAATCCCAAATATCACCATTAGCAAGCATGCCTGTGGCAACAAACACCAAGCAATTGGTAGAATAAAATAAAAAGGGCAAAAAAGAAAAAATGCTAAAAAAAACATCAGTTAAAATCTTGGTAAATAGGAAATCTTTTTTTCATACCAGAGATGAGTTTGATTTCTGCGTCTTTGATGCTTTGGCTAGCTGAGTTTTGGCCTGTGATGTAGCCGACAGGGAGTTCTCAACATTGGACTCAATATCATCTAGATGAAAATTTCATAAAAGCTCATCAACAAAGCTACAAAAAAAAAGGAAGGGGCTAAGAAATCGTCTGACCTACCAATCATAACACCTTGATCATGAACCAGCACGGCAAGATCTTTGAAAATTTCATTAACCTCACCAATTTGCTGCTGAATCTCCTGTATTCCTTGTTCTCGCTCGTCGATGATAGCCTCATTAAAGACAATCTCATTGTCCAGTAGCAGTACCTCTTGCCTGAAGTTCCAAAAAATAGAGAATGACCAAACAGAACATGTAAGCATGTAATCCAAATATTTGAACTACAGTTTATCAAATTCAGGCAAGAAACATTGCTCAGTTAAGAAGATCAGTACAGAAGGATCCATAAATAAATTCATTTTTTGGAAAAATCAGCCAAACTATTTTGAGTGAACAGATATGAGTAGTAACCCATTTGTATGGTATAAGTTAAAAACTACTTTTTTCTTATATGCTTGCAAGAAGATCAGCACTCTAAAGAATACACAAGAAAAAGGCTCGGGCACCATTATTTTCAGGCATAGCCAAGCTGAATACATTTACACGGCACAGAAACATGAATAGACTAGCCATATGTATGCGAAACACAATATTTTTAAAAAATAAGTAGCATATGCACAACTCCATGAGAAATGAAGGGTGGTGTGCAGAAATTAACAAGTGAGCAATATGTCATGGCTGAAATTAACAAGTGGTCCGCTAACATCTTCTGTGGTATGTTATCTTGTTAGCAGATGGCAGCTATTTGGTATGATGACAACTTTAAATAACAATTTCATCAATGAGACGTAAGTCCAAATTGACAACAGGGCCTAGTCAAACCTGTCTCCAATAATAAATCAGGCAACATAATGGCTAGTCAAATTTTTTTTTTTTTTTTAAGATTGGCAAGGGGCTATAAAACGAGCCCTCAACCAACCTCATGTATCTAACCACTTGATCCCGAATTGCAAGATAGATGCACTCAGGTGGGCTTGAACCCGTGATCCCGAGAACTCACGACCGACAATGCAACTACCAACCGAAGAGTCACGACAAAGATATATATATATATATATATATATATACAAATACTAATATATATATATATATATATATATATATTAATAAGATACATATTAGTATTTGTATATCTATTTATATATATCTATATATATATAGTTTAAATAAACTAACCTTGAGCCAAACACATTGCCTTTCATAGAAACCATGGAATCAAATAATACAATAATCTATCCTCTACTTAATGTGATGCTGAACGCAACACACGTGCAAGTCAATTCAATGAATTAAGTGGAACCACAAAAACAATTTTAATATGCAAAATAATAATAATAATAATAATAATAAGATACATATTAGTATTTGTAGTTTTTCTTCACCAACATAATCTAGTTCTGTGCAATTTCTGATGGCAACTTCATAAAAAGAATCATTCTGCATAGACATATATATCTGCAGCAAGACATAAAACTACTCACGAACCTTCTAGATTCCACCAGTACAGCACGCTCCTCTAGTGTTTTGTCAGAACTGATATCAACCTCACTTGCAGTGTAGCTGCATCAGTTACGAAATTATACCATTAGACCAAGGCAGAAAAGATTTAGAATGCAGAAAAGGTAAAACAAACACTGAGCTCTCGGAAATATCTGGATGCGGAAAGCACTCTAGCAATTATGATTCTATACCAGCAACCAAGTTAATGAAAACCTGAAGTATATAGATGAATTTGAAAAGAAATTTCTGAATTGAGCAAATGCAAAAAAGCCCAACAGTTGGAGAAGATTAGCTAAGTGGTAAGATGACTAAAAATTACTTTCTTCTCTAGAAAAGCTTATGGAGATTAGAAAAGGCAGATTAGGGCAGGTGTAAATTTTGGTAAGAAAGAACTCTCTGAAATGCTTTGTAAACCAAATAACATTTAGGATGTATTGCTCATATAGTTTCTGCAACTCCAAAAACTTGAGAAGTACTCGACCTTCCCTACCACATGGTATTCTTCAGCAAATTGGACAAAAAATGCCTGGAAGCAAGTTTTCAAAACAAGGGAATATGCCAGAATGGTTAAACAATGTGTGCTTATAGTCCATATTTTGTAAGCTGGTTATACCATAAGATAGCAAGAAAGACTTCCAAGCTCTGGGACAAACTAGAAATAAATGAAAATTGCATACTTCAAGAAACATACATTTACAATGTTGGAATTCATTAGATAAATTAAAATGAATAGAGAATGGCTATAAAGCACTCCTTATCTTACCATGATCATCGGGATTTAAATACAGAATGCTTAGATAAAACGAACAGAAAAAAATAGCTTCCAAAATTATAAACTAATCAATATATAACGTATTATTTCGTAAATGACTCATATATAACTGTTAGATAATTGAAGGTTATATACAAAGCTTATGCCGAATAATTCAGACAGCTTGGTAGCAGCCTAAAAAACGCTAATATACTGCAAACCTTGAAGGAAGAACTGCTTGGGGTACGAAAGGTGCATAAGCTGTTTCTCTCTCAGCAGCAAGGCGTTGAGCTTTCTGAAACTCCTTGAGTACTGCTTGGAAATCTTTGGCAAGCTTTGCATCAGCAATCTTTTTGCGAGGCTGCAGAAGCAATTTCAGTATTTAAGCATGTAAAAATATTAAAAATCATTGAAGCAAAATTGTTATATTTGAAAAATAAAAGATTGTAAATTTACAGTGACTCTATTGAAGAAAGCATGGGATTAGAATCTCAAGAAAAAATAAGAAAAATAAAATAGGAAAATCTAATAGAACATATGCTTTGGCTGTGTAGACATTCACCACTCAAAAAAATTTTTAAAAAAAAGAGAGAATAACTAGTAACATTATTAGTTAAATAAAATGGCAAGCAAAATGGCCCACGTTAATATGGGTTACTAAACAAGAAATAGTTGAAGCATTAACTGCAGATATGATTGACAATGAATGGAGAAAGTTTCATATAGTTAACACCAAATTGGAAAGGATGTTGATTTATTCATGAATAACATACTTGGCTTAGCATTTAACACGGAAGAACCAAAAGCTATGTTATCCAATATTGCTTACATTATCTATGCTTTTGGGAAAAATTGGACTTTTGTATGAGAAGGGTTGTAGGCCATGTTATGGTTGCTATGGAATTTAAAACTATAATTAGAAATTTTTCCTTAGGGGCTATTTGGGATCATTTTTTTTTTAAAACAAAAAATAAAAAAACAAACAAAAAAAAAAATGTTTTTGCTTGTTTTAATCACCCAAAACAGTGAGTCTCACGACTGCCCACCGCTGTCGCCAACCGCCACCTCCGACCACCCCAGACCACACTAT